TTATTCTATTCTATTCCATCCATGCTGCTGCAGCATCATACTGACCACATGAATTAAATTGTGAAACAAAAGAGATCAAAGAAATAAAGTTTTGCAGGTTTAAAAGTCGCATATTTATTGTGTCTGTCAGTAGCTCGTCCCTAAACACTGTGTTTAGGTCTCATCTAATATAAATCTAATGTAATGTGTGACATCTTAAACGCCAACATTTCTAAATGCCAACTAATTTTCTTTGAATCAGATGGAACCACAGATGATAAGACTTCAGCTGAGTGATATTTTTTTTTGGGTACATGCTAGCTTGTGCTCAAAGGAGCGTTTCATGATAAGATAAACTCGAGCTGCAGACGGAAATAAACAGATGCAGAATACAGATTAGAGGCATCGACCAGGCAACATGAAACATGACAAATAAAAAAACAGAAACAGAGGAATAATCGCTCCGTACATGAACAGACGCTGTGTTTTGGCCGTAATGAACTCAATGATATGATTTTTTTTGATTATTAGAACAACTCATTCTGTCATTGCAGTTGTTTCTGCAGCGTCGATTTCAATAAACAAACCACCGAGGCTCAACTTAACTCAAATACGACCAAAGTATCACTGTGTCATTCTCATTAGGTGTCATGGATTATAGTGTTTACCTTTAAAGGACTAACTGCTGAAACTCTATTTTCATTGTGTTTAGTGGTTTTTATAAACTGGGAGGTGTAACGTAAAAGCTGTTATTGAATGAAGACATTTACATCTGCCACTACTTAAGTCTCCCCACAACTAGACAGCCTAACAGCTTTAAAACCAGTAAGTGTTTGACAAAGTGTTACATGCAAGCTGAGGAACCAATGGTCATCATCTAGCTCAAACTCCTGACAGGATTTGCACAATTCTGCTAACTCTAAAATGTCTCAGCTACAAGCGAAGTACACCAAATGTTCTGCTGTTTGGTGCAAGAGTGAACACAAGAATCTTCATACAGATCCAGTAGACAATGGAAACTGTAATGCTCAGGAACATTTGGAGACGGCACGATCTTTAAGAGCAATTTGAAATAACAAACCGGGACTGTTGTTGTAATTTTATGTTGCTTGTTGTGCATCAGTGAAACCTAAATTCAACCAGTGTTTTCATCTGTTTGCTTCTCTCCTGATATCTCAGCTCACATATATTGCATACAGCTGAATTCCCTTGAAGTTGTTCTCGATTACAGATTTTTCCTCTTTGTGTTGCCTGACAAAAGAATTAGTACGAAATAATGATTGAAGCACAGACAGTCACCTCAGAGCCGTTTCCCAAGTTACTCTGCACTGCTTAATTATTGATTTTATAACCACAATGTTGTCTGCAGACTCACCAGACACACAAGTTAAAAACAGTGATGTTTTGTAAAATGATCCCTCAGAGAGGAAGTTAGAATAGAAAGTCATGGTCTCACACACTCATTCACATCTACCCAGCTGCAGTGCAACAACTAGTTTTCTCCAAGCTGTCAATCAAGAACAAAGAGTTTTCTTCCTGAAGGGGGGGTGTGTGGCAGCAGGTCAGCTTCATTTAAAGCTGCAAACACTGAAGCAGCTTCTTTAATTAAGGGCTAAAACAGGGCGTCTCATGGTTTCATAGTGAATTTTTGTGTTATTTTGAGATTAAAATTTGGAAACACACATATTAGTGTATGTGTGACTTTCATTATTTTTAATGAGGCATTTAAAATATGGTCTTATAAAATCCTTCATGCACTTATTTTGTGCCTGTTCTTAAATTCTATGCAGTTTTATTCAGAAAATCCAGACCTGCTATGCGGAAATGACGTCAGAGCTGAGTGCTGTCAAGTTACCAGGAGTTAGTCGCTTTAGACCGGAAGCTCCGTTAACACCTTTTATTGTACGTTTAGCCAGGAAACATCCGACGTATTGGTAAATAAATTAGAATTATACTCAGAACAGTAACAAAGTCTTAATGTCAATTTTATGATCTAGATGCTGAGTGTATCTTTTTAATGTATGTATATATTAGCTCTTAAATCAGTGCTTTTATTTTCCTTCACGGTGACCGGTTGTGTGTACCTCTGCTCGCTAACTTAACGGACTTGTAGCTTGTAGCAGCGTCGCAAATAGTTGCCTTGAATCCACCTGGAGTTGCTTCCTCCGTCGACGAACAACTTCACTCTTCTCCAGACGGACTCACAATGCTGTCCTACATTATCGGGGTGAGTATGAGTGAATTAAAAGTCACCGGGCTCGTTTTGCTTTAGCCAGTTTCTTTGCGTTAGCTCGCGCGGACGTTAGCTAACGTGCAGTTTTCCAGACATAACTTGAGCAGACCGTCGGCCTGCCCACCGTGACTCATTTGTCCTGTTATGGATTAAACTAAATGACTTTAGCTCGACTACGCCCCACACAGCTAACTGTTTTGGTGGCTAACGCTAGCTGCTGCTGCTGGTTGACTCATGCTCCTGCCTTTTTTGACCTTCATCCCAGTTGATCCGAGGCGGCTTTGACAGCATCATCAACCTCATCTTCAGACTGCTGTTCTCCAAGAGGAGGGCTGCCATCACCTTAGAGGACCCCAACATCAAGTATGCCCTGCGGCTCATAGACAGACAGGTAACACGCTGACTGCAGGCTTAATGAGCTGTTTGAGTGTTTACAAATACGACTGGTGCGTTCACGTACCGCCGCCGCCGTCTGTATTTTTTTGATTTAACTTTGTGACACTGTTTGTTGCTGCTTCAGATTGTCAGCCATGACACCAGGAGGTTCCGCTTTGCTCTGCCTTCTCCTGAACACGTCCTGGGCCTCCCCATCGGTCAGTATGAGTCCCACACAGGCGCTAGCAGGATTTAATAGCTCATGTATTAACCTAGTCATCATGAGACTGACTGCTGTCAAATGTAACTGCATCATAAACAATCTGCAGTGTTGTGAAGTGGGAGCGGTATACAATTAAACACACTGTAGTGGGATAATGCAGAGAAGCATCTGTTCAGTAGGAGTATATCATATAAACAGCCCTTTACATAGAGCTCATCTGTTGGTTTAGGATGTTTTCAAACTGCTGCTTGTTTCTGAAGAGGACTGAGCAACTTGTCATCTTCAAATCACAATTAGAAACAATGCAGTCAGCAAGTTGCAAGGGCTGAAGTTTAAGATATACAAGGTGTGACTATTGCTGTAATTTAATTTAATGTAATTAAAGCTGAGTTGTTTATCCTGGCCGTTGATTGATTTCAAGTTGTGATTTGAAATCACTCCCCCTAATGTACACTTCATGATTAATGCATGCACGCTGTGGTTCACTGACATAAGCCCCGTCTCCCTGTTTAAACCTCTCAAGCAATTTCTGGGCTGTTTTTGTAGCTCCTGTCACATTTTTACTCTCTGTTAGATAATGATTTATTGCAGTATAACGTCTGCACCTCTATGGAAGCAGCACAACAACGACTAGGAGGAAACTCAGTCATGTTTCTTATGCAATAAAATCGTAATGCCATAAAATACAAGAACAAAAAAATGTGATTTTTCAAGTGCTCATAGCTGTTATAATACTTGCTACTTGCTTGTTAGTTGCTGATAATCCTGTTAATCGACTTTTTGTTTTAGCTCTAAATGATGCATTGATACCAAATTATATAAAAGATAAGAAGCTGCTGACGTCCAAAGCCAACTGAAGCCTTCTTTGTTCTCCTTTCAGGGCAGCATATCTATTTGTCTGCAAAGATAGACGGGAAGCTGGTCGTGCGTCCGTACACACCGGTGTCCAGTGATGATGACAAAGGCTACGTGGACCTGGTGGTGAAGGTACAGAGTTTGGAAGAGTTGTTATGTATGTTTTATACATGTATGCAGGTATAGATTGTTGTTTTAAATCTGTCTCTCCGTTTGTTCCATGCTGCCAGATTTACTTTAAAGGCGTTCATCCTAAGTTCCCAGAGGGGGGGAAGATGAGTCAGTACTTGGAGAGCCTCAAGCTCAACGACACCATCGACTTCAGAGGACCCAGCGGCCTGCTGGTTTACAATGGCAAAGGTGAGCGACGTGAATAGATGAGTTATTAATTAAACGGCGCTGAAGCAGCCTGATTTAATGCTGTAACTTTCCCCCTGCAGGTGTGTTTGCTGTTAAGCCTGACAAGAAGTCTCCAGCTGAGACCAAGACAGCCAAGCATGTGGGCATGATCGCTGGAGGGACAGGTGAGAAGAACTGTGTCTCTTTTCTAACAGCTGTTTCACTTCAGAAAAGTGTCTCACTGAGCCACACAGATCCGAACACATCTCATCTAATGAACAATTTAATTAGTAAACAGCGTTTGGTTGTTTCACACAGAAGTGTTTTTTAATCTTTTTGTTGTTGTTGTTGTTGTTTTACCTCTGAGCCTTTCTCAAAGTGAAAAGAGTTCAGTTGGGTTGTTGTATCTGATCAAACCACACCCACAGCGTCCTGACGGGGCAGATAGGGCCAGAGTTTTGTTCAACTCTTACTGAATGACTGAAACATTCTGTACTTTAATTGTTGCCTGTTTAATATTAAAGAGAAATGTTTACAAATCACAAAGCACTCATGGATGTCAACATACTTTTAGGCTTATGTTGTATATAATAGAACATATTCTGTGTGTAAAGACCTTCTGTTAAGACAGTGTGTGACCTTTCCTGGTGTTTTTACAGGGATCACCCCCATGCTGCAGCTCATCACAGCAGTCATGAAGGATCCTCAGGATAAAACAGTGTGCTACCTGCTGTTTGCCAACCAGGTGAGACATATCAAAATATTGACACTATATCTCTATTTCAAATAAGTCCTGCATGAAAAACCCTACTAGAGTGCACAAGTATCAGCACAAAATGTAATTAAGATATTACAGTCCTGGTTTGCTCCCTCTCACTGATGTATTATCATATATGACATCATTCAGTTATTCATAGTGAAGCGTCAGAGTGTCGGCAGCATGTTTCTGTTGTAGCTGCTGCAGTTTAAACTACGTTATATAGACGTTTTTAGAAGTAACCTGGTGGACATTCATCCGTCTGTCCCATGAGCTCAAGAGAACCGAAAGTGTTTAAATGACCTCTAGAGCAGACGTGGAAGAAAGTGTTTGACATCTATCATGTTTCTCTTCTGTTTCCGATTGTAGTTTATTATTTTATAATCATAATTTCTTATCTAATGTGCCTGATATTCAGGGATTTTCCTTTATAGAGGATATAGATTCAGCAGGTGGTTTAAAAGTTGTGGCTGATCGTATTAGGCGCTATTTGCTTTCTAATATATTTGTGGATGACAGCAGTCTCGTTCTTACTACGGTACAGTAGTTAAACGTGTTCCTCTTTGTGCTCACAGACTGAGAAAGACATCCTGCTCAGACCAGAGCTGGAGGAGATTCAGGTGAACAACCCGGACCGGTTCAAGCTGTGGTTCACCGTCGACAGAGCACCAGAGAGTGAGTCCTCGAACAGTGCATGTCATGAATCAAGCTGTAAATCAGATGTGTGCAGGTAGTAGGTGTCTGATGGTCTCACACAGTTATACCAACACTAACAGAAGCCCTCAGACCTTTTACCTGATCCTGCTCCTCCCTGCACACCTGCCAGTTTCCTCACTGGGTCCCAGAACATGTGTACAGTTAAGCCCTAAATGAACCATACCCATGCCAAATTGTCACAACAAACAATGGATTTTAAATTGTAATTTGAAACGATGCAACAGGCAAAGTGCAGAGGTGAACTCTGGGTAGTTATTATCATTATTTATCGTGTGGCTAATAAGAAATGAGACTAAAGCTGTAATTCAGTGTCATGCAATGTGAGCAAGTTGAAACTTTGAGGGGTTGTTTATTGATCAGTGTGTACTATGTGGTTCAGTTCCTCCTTGTGTGTGACAGTCACACGTTTGATGGTATCTCATGTAGTCATGCACCATCATGGCTTAAATATTTTTACACAGTGAATATAAAACTGAAGCTTGACTTTCAAAAAGTTATATCACAAATCAAACCCAATCAATTAGATATTTTCCACAAATTGTTCAGCTCTATCAGGAAGTTTAGTGAAGTGATACTTCGGACAGCTAATGATTGTTTTACTTGTCAACAACTAACGTAGGGGGTATAAAATGTCCAATACACATTCTAGGAGCTAAGAGTGTTGTCTTTAAACTTAACTTTATTGTCCCCTGAGGGAAATTTGCTCTGCAGGCAGGCAAGAAGCACAAAAACACAGAAAACACAATCACAGTCGATCACATCCTGACACCACACTAAAATGGACAGCACACAACAGCAGAGTCATCCTCCAGAATCTGAGTTAAGTACAGCAATGGCTTGTGTTATGAAGGAGTTTTTCATCCTGTTGGATCGAGCCTTTGGCAGTTTAAATCTCCTGCCAGAGGGTAGGAGCTCAAACTCAGCATGGAGGGGATGATGGGAGCACTGAATGATATCCTGAGCCTTAGAGTGTACCCTCCTGCAAGAGACTGATAACTGATAGTTTAGTTCAGTCACAAATCTGAAAACATTCAGGAAATCTTTTTATTTTTTCCTTTCATTTCCTCCTAAAAGTCATCTACCTTATGAATAGTTCCTGATTAATTTCTGTCTGTAAGTGAGCAGATAAATGTGGCAGCTCTAGTTTTAACGTATTTGAATCGTGTGTTGTGGTGAACAACAGAGGAAGTAGTCGTGATGTTGTGTTTTGAGGCTTGTCTCATTTTCACAGAATCATGTGACTGATAACAGAGGAGGCCACATTTTCTGCACAGTCATGTCACAGTTTCATGTGAAGTTTTTGGGTCTGAAAAGTCTCACAGAAGCTTTCTTCCAAGTCTTTAAGATGAGACACCACTCACAAAGACATGTTTTTGTAGTATATTCCATAAAATGTCGGTTTTAAGACAAATGAAGAACAAAACAAAACAAAAAACACATTTAGGTGTGTATTGAACTAACTTTGTCTATTGGACATTTATGAAAATTAAAAATTCAAGAAATTCTAAATAAATATACAGTGAATTATAGAAATGACATTTGAGAGTAAAACACACAAAGTAACATAAAAAATTAAGACAATAAAACACAAAATAAGAATTTGTTTGTATGAAATAGGATAAAGGTGTGTTTTAGACCACAAACACAAATGACAGCAGTACTTTCAATGACATACATAGCTGTAATTACAGTCACATCTACTGATATTGTCTGTTCACTTAATGTTCACGCAGTCAGCAGTTTGTTTTATCAGTTTTGCTTCCTGTGTTGCATTTAGCACGTCATATATTTTTCAATTCCTCATATTGGTTTTGGATTATAGTTTGTGGTCCTGGGAAAAAAAAGCAACCCCAAAAAGGGTCAAGGTTGGGAATGGGGAACCGGTGGCCCCTTAAGGAAGAAACAAAAAAAAACCAAAATCAAAAAACCCCAAGTGAAGGAAAAAAGTGAAAACCAGCTTCGTGTGACTGCGGTTATTGGGTTTAGTGATCCTCCTGAACTAGTAGTACAGGCCATGAATTGATCTGCTGTCAGAACACAAAGAGCAACTCAGAAATGTTTAGTGTCCAATAAACTAATAATTTCAGCTCTACCTCACTTGTTCTTTTAAATAGATATTTAAAAGAGTGTACTATGCATTAAAGACTCTGCTGACCAGTAGGTGTCACTAGTGAACACTATGAAATTCCTTTCCACTGTGCCTATTGGACAAATACCTCCTCTGTGGTCTAGTAGTGAGCTTTATTTTCCTTCCTGTGTTTCAGACTGGGAGTACAGTCAGGGCTTCATCAGTGAAGACATGGTGAGGGAGCACCTGCCACCTCCCAGCGACGACACCGTCATCCTGATGTGTGGACCTCCTCCCATGATCCAGTTCGCCTGCGACCCCAATCTGGACAAAGTGGGCCACTCCCACAGCCGCAGGTTCACCTTCTAGGCGTCCGTCCAAACAGAGGAATCAAGGTTTGGAAGCATTAAAGCACGCGTATGGCTGCAGGGGGGTATTGCACTATGTACACTATATATATAAAATATATATATATGTATATGTATGCCATGATATTCATCATGCAAAGAATCACAGCTCGGACCAATTCATGTTGGTTTGATGGAAGGGCAGGGAGCAAAGTGAATATATGAGCTTGGTTGAAGATGTTTCTGATGGGAAAGTAAGTTTTTAGACCTTGGGCTTGAAAATGAGGATGTGATTCCAAATGTGTTGCAAATGTATCGTCCTGCTGTGGTCTTATTTAGGCTTCAATATCAGAAGAGTTGAGGTTTACTGGCTGTTTTCTGAGTGCCTTAACACCTGCAAAGCTTAAAAACAAAGTATTCACTATTCCGTTAAACCTGTTGTCACGTCCAAGTTGTCGATATTTTGCTTAAACATGTTCACGAGTGTTTTGTTTTTTTCAATGTATTGAGGTCACTTTTCTGCAAGATTGTCTGCTTGTGTTTGAATATGCAACAAAGAAATCAGCTGTTATTGATTGTTTTTATTATTATTTTGTATCAAAAAGCTCTGCAGAACAAATTATCAAAATCGTTTATCCTCATTTACAACTGTGTTGTAGCTTCTCTTTGGGTTTGAGGGAGCTTCTACCAAAAGTGAAGACACGTTTACTTTGTCTTGTTTTTATTACCAAAAACACAACAGAACAAAACAACATTATTGATATGCACAAAAACAGAGATTTGGTTATGTCTTCATAACAACTTAGACTTTGGTTTCCATGTTTATTTTTGTTCATGCTGTTGACAGAACAGTTGGACGTTTTAGGAGCTGTGCTGAGTGACTGAAACTAGAATCGGAGGTTGTTAGCTTAGCATAAAGACTGTTAACAGGAGGAAGCTGCTAGCTCGGCTCTGTCAAAAGCTCATTAACACGTTAGATCTCATTCATTTAAGTTGTGCAAGACCAAAGATGTAAAAGTAACAAGTTGTGATTTTGGGTAGTGTTACGTGCTGTAGCTAGTTTGTGGTGAACCTCACAAATGACATGCAACATATTGGGCTTTGGTGGATTTTTTTGATTTGGGACAGAGCCAGGACAGCACTTTGTCCTGTTTCTAGTCTTCATGCTAAACTAATAACCTCCTGGCTATAGCTTATAGCTTTCTTTGAAGTGAGGTGTATGTATCCTTAGCACTGCTGGCATGCACAGTGCGGAGAAGCAGACAGGAGGACTGGCAAGCAGGGAGCAAAAAGTCTTTCAGCCACTTAAAAAAAAAATCAGTTTTAAGTGTATGCTGTGGGTTGAACATTTCACTTTGCTGACAGGAAACTGACCCAGTTCCGTTGCTCTCATCAGATCCACCACACTGTGTTGACAGAAACGGTCATTTAGCCTCACAGAACACAGGAGGTGCTGACATTTTCATGTGACTTTGTTGTGTTGACACATTAATTTGGATCTTAACTAATGTGTTAAAACACCAAGCAGCTCCCATTTTCTACAGGTTAAAATTGCTGCTTGTGTCAACACAGAGTGGTTGATCTGACGAGAGCAACAGAAATGCTTCATCTGGTTGTTAGAGATCAGAGTAACAGTGACAATAATCTAAACATAGCATACAGTTAAAGTGATGGGGCGGCTGAAGAATGTTTCGCCAGTCTTCTTGTCTGCTTCTCCAAACTGGAGCCGCGTCAGCCGTCATCTACTGTCAGTAATACACCAACTGTGCATAAGTACACAATGCAATCCAACGTCCAGAATTATCCCTCTGAAGCTGTATTTAGACTCCTATGTTGAATCTACAGACTGCCATGTGGAATACACTGCTGTGAGTATTTATACTTGTGCACTGGTGTGATAGCATCAAAGCACCAGTTAGCAGCAGCGTTTCTATGCCACTGTGTTGAGTTTCCTTGTGAACTTCAATAGTGACTGAAATGGAGCTGGTACGTGCTGAACAACAGTTACTTTTACTGAAATGCAGAGCTTTTGGATGAGTCTATACACAGATTGGTGGATGTATGAATATGAGAAAACGGCCACATTGGCACAGTATTTTGAATTTAATTAATTGAATTTCCCTTCTGGGATAAATAAAGTATTTTTCATTTCATTCATTTCAGTACTGACTCTTGTATTTGCTTTGTTTCACTGAAGCGTTTCTGCAGGTTATGCTACAGACTACAGCTTCATTGAACTGTCTGCATAGATCCAGTGCAGATGAAACAATTGTGTCTGGTCTGATCAGAATGCAAGAGTCAGTATTGTGCCACTGTAGTCATGCACTGTTTTCATAGATCTACCAATCTGTGTATTGTCTCAGTCAGTTAATACATCACAGTCTTTTTGATCAACATATATTAGCTTCCATTTTAGTCACCATTGTTTAAGTACACAAACAAACTCAGCATAAAGTACAAATGCTCACAACAGTGTAGACCAGGGGTGTCCAATCCTGGTCCTCGAGGGCCACAGTCCTGCATGTTTTAGATCAGGGGTGTCCAATCCTGGTCCTCGAGGGCCACAGTCCTGCATGTTTTAGATGTTTCCCTCTTCCAACACACCTGATTCAAATGATCAGGATCATTATCAGTCTTCTACAGAGCTTGATGATGAGCTGATCATTTGAATCAGGTGTGTTGGAAGAGGGAAACATCTAGAACATGCAGGACTGTGGCCTTCGAGGACCAGGATTGGACACCGCTGGTGTAGACTATGATGTAGACATAAGCTTAAGACAGGCAAGTGTGGTGTATTCGTCTCCAATTGTCATTAAGAACATAAACATTTATAAAAATGTCTCCCTCCCAGTGGAGTCTTGCTCCATAAATGATTGTAGTTTTATTAGTGTAGGTTTTGATATTTCTGCCTCCACTGCTTTATGACTGAACGGATGTGTGTGTGGTGCTCTCAGTTAAAAATTAAACTGCAACATGGACCAGTGCCACTGACACTAAGTTTTTCACAGTCTGACACGGACACTTTGTGAAAAGATGCACCACACAGAACATCCTACTCACCTCCGTCACAATGGAGTGAAATTTCAAAACCTGGAAAAATAAAATCATATCTACCTTTGCAGTTAGATTCCAAACAAAGTAAATGACTCTGTAGAAGGTAACAATGCAACCTCACGTACCACAAGCATGAGTCTGACTACTACTGAGGATGAGTCCCTACAATAAGAGGAGAAATGCTTAAAGCTTAACTCACTGATTACTGAGAAAAACACAAATGCTCGAATAATACAATAAATGCAGAAAGGGGTACATTAATGCTATTAAATCTTGCATTTTCAGTTCATGCAATATGTTTTGGACAACTTCAATAAATATATATATGGTCATGGAAACTGTGTGTGTGTGTGTGTGTGAATGATGGAAATACTGTCCAAGTCTCACGTGTTCGACTACAAAGGCTGCTCAGAGGTGGAGTCGGTTCAGTCAGATGTTGGAGTTACTGTGCATTTCTGCTGTGTCGTCCTCTGGAGGGCAAACGGAGATCTCCCGAAAAAACTCATCCTCCTTCAGCATGCTCTGAAACACAGACAGGAGGAGACTCATTCAGTCCAGTGATGGCCAACCTTGGTGATGTACTGGGATCATGGTGGAGCAGGTCTCACCGTCAGATTATTGATTCCCTCAGAAAACGCTCCTATCTGTCTGACGGTTCCTTCAGAGTCTTCCATCTGACAAAAATAAATAAATAAATTACAATCACAATATAATTCCTGTAAATGTGAACAAAGCAGAGGCAGTCGTGTCTCTGTACCTGTTCCAGGTGGTCAAAGTTATCCTGGTAGATCCGGACGCTCCTCTGGAAGCTGCTGTTCTTGGGCATTTCCACATTCATGGGGCAGACGTACTCCTCACCGTCGTCATGACGTTTCTTCCTCAGAGTGCCAAAACCACCAAATGACAGGCGTCTTGGCTGGATGAGGAAACAAGAGACACTTGGCATCTGGTCCACCCCATTTTTTCTTTTTCTTTTTTTGAAAAGCTGATGCTAATTAAGGAGATGCCGGATTTTGCAAGTGTCAAGTAGAGCTGAAACTATTACTCCAGCTTCTCACTCAAGGGTTTGCTGAATTTCTTTCTCTTTTCTGAGAGGAAAAGCTTTTGACTGTTGATCTGACAGTAAAGGTCTGAGGGAAAGAATGCATTTTTCTGTAGTTTTACTGTTAATAACATACATTATCCTTCTTGCTAAAGTAAAGAATCTGAGCACTTCCTCCAACACTGTCCAGGTGACCAAGTACTTAACAACAACATGAACTAACATAATTACTATGCTTTTAAAAAGTAAGGTCAGTACATCCCCTTTATGGAAAGATACAGTTAAGTGCTGCTATAAGGAGCCATAAAGTTCCTTCAGTCAGCTGTAATGAGCCTCGAGAAGCAGATCAGTCAGTGTGTGTTCTGTTCGCTGTTACTCAAGAGAAGTAGAAAGTCCCTGTTCATGTCGTGTTAGTACAGCATCCTGTTACATAGAGCCAGATAAAGTGATCACAGAGATGGAGGTCTGTACTCTGTGTATGGTTTTAGGTTCACTTTGGCTACTTTACTGTACCAACAACAGGGTCCCATCGTGTTCTTGTAAACTGCAAAATTATGATAATGAGGTAGACTCATTCATTTATTAAGACAAATGCATTAGGAGATAAAAAGATGTATTTAACTTGCATGACGAATGACACAGATGGTGCTGGTATGATACGGCAGGTGTTTGCAGTACACTGCTAATTTAAAACTACCTCAAAGAAAATCTGCTGAGGAATCAATGAGCATTATCAAAATTTTATATCTCAATGATGTCTTTGGAATCTGAATTTTGATCCCAGTTTTCAATGCCCAACCCTAGACTTGAGTTTTATTCTGCTGTAACTATCAAGTGAAAGTGAAGCTGATATCACCATAGTGACACACAGGGACTGTTTGTGAAGCAGTGGACGGGCAGCTACCTTGACCTTGGCCGTGGCTGTGAGGACGCTGTAGTCTGGGTTTTCCAGACAGTCCTGTTTGAGCCGCTGAGCCTCGGAGCCAATGAGCAGGTGAAAATGTGTGGCCAGGTGGCGTCTCAGCAGGGTTTTGTTGGGAGGAATGTTGAGCAGAAGGGCGAGTGCTTCCACGTTAAAACGAGGCTCCAACACCTTTAAAACACGAAGATTAAACATAATCGTGGAAGGTTGAACAGGGTACGAGAGAGAAAAAAAATAACAGTAGTGAAAAGCAAAACCAGGAAATAGTTTCATAGAAAATCAACCAGCGTCTTTAATTAGATATTGAGACTGACTGCAATAAGCAGACTTTTTTGGGCGGGTTGTTCACAGTTTGTGGTGTCCTATAATCTGCAGCAGACGCTATTGGTCCACACTGTGTACATTTATATTAATACCTAAAAACATATATATTTTTTTCCAGAGCAGCTACATTGTCCCATTTGGTAAAAATCACATTTCAGGATCAGGTTCTTGCTCACCACAGAGGTGACACGTTCACTACTAAGGAACTCTGGTGATTTCTGAAACAATGTGTAGCTCCTTATTTCTACACGGCACTCTTCGATTCTGTCAGCTTTCAAGGACAGATTTTATAAACATAATGTTAGCTCCATGAACTCACTGCAAATGTGTCTAACTACTAACTGGTGTACACTGATGGCACTGACTGCAGCTGCATTAGAGCAGCTAAACACACTGCTCATTTAATCTGTCACACTTTTTTTTTACTCATGTTTTAGTTTCTTACAAAAATCACCATACAATAAATTTAGAGGACAGACAGTTGGGGGCCTGTATTATCTTTATTGCCTTTGTTTTCTTCCTGTGAGCTTTAATTTGCTGTTAAAATCAGTTTTACCTCATGTGTTTTATACGATGTTGCATTAAATGCTGATCCCCCACCACACTCACCATCAGCCCTCCATGAACACCACTCCCCCTCAGGTTGGGGGCATATTCTGCCAGATCCACAGAGCGCAGCCACTCCATCACTCTGTGGTTGGTCCACTGGGAGATCTCAGCCGGCGTGACGTTGTTCTAGACCAGAGAATGGAAATATTGATTTCAGAAGAAGATACGCTTTTTTTTTTTTTTTTTTAAATCAAAGGAGGTTTTAGAACAAAAGAGGAGTGTGGGTTGAGACACTCTGTGTGATACCTCATCAGAGGGTCGTCGTCTGAGACAGCTGGGTTCGTAGAAGTTCAGTCGGAGGACCTGAATGGCTCTCTTGATGCTGAGGTGATGGAGAACACTGCCGACCTTCAGAGACAGCAGGTCCTCCTGGGAAACAGGATCACACAACGGCAAAGAGTTATCACAAAGTCACACGACCCACTGAATGATTTATTCAGTGGAAAAGATTAAACTATGAACGACATCCTGCTAGAAGGTGGTTTAAGATGTTCTGTCAGCTCACCACTGTCATGTAGTGCAGCATGCGTCCATCAACACGAGCCTCATCAAAGTGACTCTTGTACTGCGGGAGGCCGATGTCATCCAGCCATCCTAAAAAGAACAAACATCAGTGTATTTAATCTACATTGATAGTCGCTGAGGACAGCACAGTACGTATATGAAGCTGTAAGACGACATCACTTACTGTTCACCCAGTTGTGGTCCAGTTTGCCCTTCAGATCCTCCTCCTCTGACCCGAGAGCCTGCAGGGCCAGCTGGAGCTTCTTCCTGTGGAGAGGCTGCTTTATGCCCAACTCCTGGAAACATAAACCGACAACTGCTGTCAAAAGGTCAAACATCAAGAGTGTCCAGATTTTAATTAAGATTTTAAAGTCAAGTGTACTTAAATGGTGTATTTGAGCACTATGCTAGAATTCAGGTGGAGGACGACTGCACAAAATAGGTGATTAGAAATCTGTTGAAAGTACTCTTGCTTAGATCAGTGTTTAACTGCTGTCTAGCAAGGATCAGCTGGATGTGTGTGTATACAGCTATGAGAAACCCTTTAGTTTGTGTTAATGAAGTACTGTGAGGATTTATAAACTGGTCTTGCTATGTGCCACAGCTTTCATCTCCCTGGCTTGTAGCCTTACAGCTCGTGAGTTTGTTTGTAGCATCTTGCACCAGTGATTCCCAACATGGGGTAGCTGTACTTCTGCAGTTTCACAGGGGGAACATTAAAAAAAATAGCTGAACTAATTAAAATAATAAAAAATTAAGACACTGCACTGAGGTATGAAAACTGGGTAGCAAGGGAAGCTAAAATGCTAACCAGTTAGCTAAAAGCAAAGAAGAAATAGTTAAAACTGAAAGCTAGAAGTACAAAACAATCCACGAACTGAAAGAGTGCTAACACCAAGAGGTAACTTGCTGAAGCTAGGAGATAAATGGTTCATATTTGCAGCAAATGTTGGATAAATGGTCAATTAAGTTGGCTAGAATGATTGAAACATTTTACATAAAAACTAAATGGAAAGAAAGAAGACTGTTGGTGTGAAAACTCTCTACTGACCTTCTCCAGATCGTGCTGTGATGCCTGCAGTAACGTTTGTCCTGATTTGATCCAGTTCTGGCCCTGGGCAACATATAACCCGAGGCCCTGCTCATGGAGCCACACACAAACGTCATCTTTACTCCACCGCGAGAAAGGAACATCAACAGCACTGAACAGAGACAGAGACACTTTTAAATCAAGTCAGACAAGGCTCCAGGCTGAAAACAAGCCTCTTCAATATGACACCATTTATCAGAATTACAGCTGAATCTGTAAAAATCAAACAATTATCGCATTTTCAACTTATGTGTGTGTCTGCCAGTTTTATTCAGAAGTTAACCAAATCTGAGCTTCAAATAAAATATTCCATCAAAATCACTATATTCTTGTAAACGTCTCATGAAAAAAAAATTCAATAAACTACAGATCATGTAAAAAACGGAAAATTCTGCTCTCCCTGGTACAACTGAGAACCAATTCCTGACTCACATGTCAGTATCAGTCATAAATATTTACAGTATGTCCAGTCACATGTTTGTTTGTTTTTTTTCCATACTGGTAACTTGGAAAAATGTTATACATGTTTATTACAGTTTTTGCAAACAAAAAAAAAAAGAAAAAGAAATTTAACTTTCTTTTGTGCGTATGTGATTTACAGCATAATAACTATCATACTGCACAGATGACATTTCTGAGTTCTCTCCACTTCTAGCCATCGTTGTGCTGTTTCCATAGAAGTGCAGGACTTAAGATTGCAGTAAAAATTGAGTCCACAGTGAGAGAAAATGTGAGAGGAGCAAAATACTCTCAGAAACCGCTTTAGGTTTAGATGGTTAAAAATAAAGAGTCACTGGGGATAAATCCCAAACAAAGAAGAAACAGGCGCAGTTTAGCATTGATATGTAATAAACTAGAGGACTCATTAGTTTCTTAAAACTTGTAAATAGCAAAACTTTATCAGCATTTGAGGCAAAAGTCCTGCAGCAATGTTTGGATAGTGATATATTAACAATAAGAATAATTTGAGGTAATAATTTCTTAGGATTCTTTAGGCTTGTAAATCTTGAGCACCTTGATCTGACTATTTATTAAAAGTACAACTTTTAGTGGCTGGTAGATTAAAAAAAGAAAGTTTTAAGAACACGTACTTTTGCTTTGATTCACGCGACCAGCCAAGTCGAGGTCCAGCTGTGGCTCTGACTCCGCCCCTCCTGAACTCCATCTCAGCTGCATCATCGAGGTTGAAGGAGGTGGAGTGACTCCTCTTCAGCCTGCAGGAGAATCACTTTATAAACGAGCAAGATAATCTTCTTACATGAGTTCAGACACAGATAAGGCACCACTGACTTACCTGCCAAAGAATTTCATCAACCCTCTGGACTTCTTCTTGGTTTCGGGGGAGGACGGCAGAGGAGCTGCTTCATGGGATTTCCGTGGAGGAACACCAGCCAAGTCGAGGTGCTCTGTGCCTTTACGTTCTGTCTCTGCTGTAAAATAATTAGATACGCATTAACATGACAGTAAAGAGAAACAGAATCGATCACCCACCACCACCAAACTCCTCTCAGAAAAATCTGGCTCAGATTTAAGCAGCACTACAGCTCATCAACTACACAAGCACCCAGTGGACCAGAGGTGAAACTAAAACAATAAAACTTAAGTCAGCAGCAGAATGGACACCACACATGCAACAGACTAGTTAACTACAACAACACAACTTACTAATTCACAACACATGAGAGATGCAACACACCTAAACTGAAAGAAAGCTGAAACAGCTTCATTGCAGATGACTGAATGTCATGGATAAAGGACAGCTGGATGGTTCTATGATATCACTGATAGACGACTCACACCTGAGCAACATTTAAGAAAAGTCTAGAAAATGCAGGAACTAAAAGCAGTGATTCCCAACTTTTCTTGTCAAACAAAACTTAGATCCTTAATAATCTACATAAATGTTAGGAACCACTGCTTTCATAAAAGTGGGAGAAAGGTTTCTCTATGAGAGAACAGTATGACAGTGAGTTCATGTGAGCTAAATGGTCACATTGCAGTGTCAGTACTGTGTTTCTGCATCCAGCTGCATCATCCAGAGCTGCCATACTGCAGGTCAACAGGACCGTTCTGCACTACTGTACCTAACACTGGTGCACTGGCACTCCGGGTGCGGTCTTCACAATTTACAGGAACATGAAAATCAGTAATTAAAAACAAAAGACAAAAAGCAGCAAAAAAAGGAACACTTATTGATTAAACCAAAAACACAAATACACGATTCTGTGTTGGAGTGTAGAGCTCACCAAGGTTGGGGGCGCTGGCTGCCTGCTTGCCTCCACGCAGCTTAAAGAAGCCACGGCCGAAAGAGGAGCGGGCCTTCTTGGTACCAAAACTGTCCTCACTTGTGGTTTTTCCCTTAGAAGGGGAGGAACCAGGTCCTGCTTTATTTTTAGCCTATGAGAAAAAAATACAGGAAGGAAGAAACAGCCAGGACATGGCCAGAGATAAAGTATTTCACCTTAAAATTCAAGTTTATGAGAAAAGGTGTAGTTGCACATTTTCACCACTAAGTGTCAGAGCAGGACTACTTGCAGGACACTGAATTACATGATCGGTCCTGTGACTAAATGCAGACTGATGCTGATAATCATAACAAGGAGCATCCACTTAGTAGGAGGGAATCACATTCTTCAGATTCTACAGTGAAAAGGATAATCAGAAACTAATGAACACTTGAGTGTTTAAACCACTGAAATTACTAAAATTACATCAAGTCTGGTCTGTTATGTTGCACAGTTGAGCCATTGTAGACACTCAGGCCTGGTCTTACCTGCTCAGAGCTGCTGGTTACAACGGAGTTGCCCGGCTGTACAACACCTAAGGAACTGAAATAACAAGAATAAACAACACCTGAAGTCCAGAAACAAGCTTAACATCAAGCATACTTAAAAGTATAGCTTTGCTAACACAATCCATCATTTTAAAAAAAGCTGGTTCCAACATCTATCAAAAGAAGAGCCCAGAAGAGCTCATGTAAAGGTATACTTGGGGTAAAACTGTGCCAGGTGTAGAGTAAAATAGATTACGCTTCTGCTTACCTGAATTAGCAGCAACGGCCTCACAATTTGCCAATTTACATTTATTCTTAGCTGTTCTGTCTGAAGCGTTTGGGCTCTCACCGTACACCCACACAGGTGTTTTCAGTTAGACTGTGATTAGACCTCTCCTCAGGACTGTGTGGGCAAAGCTTCCTGACTCTGCATGCAACAGTTTTATTGCAAATGCAAGGTAGGGACAAATTAGTATCTATTACTAGCTGTGTGTGATTTTAATACTGTGGTAAAAACCAATTAAACATGCCAAATCATTTCAATGACAACAGTGTTATTATTGTAACACCTGAAACTAAACTTGGAACACTTTGAACATGTCACATGAAGCAAATCATACCAGCCACGCGCCCTCATCTTACACAACATAGATTTATTAAAGCTGATGTTTCACAACCTGCTCCAGACACACTACATGCTTTGAAAAATGTAAAAGGTCCTAGACATCATCAACAGTTACTTCAGCTGTGTGCAGAAATGTCAGTGTACTTAATTCCACCCATGAGACTAAATAAAGCGGAAACAAATGGCTTTTGATAACAATAATTAGATCTGAAGGTCTGGGTTTTACCTTTCGGCTGCCTGTAACTGTCGCTCTCTGTCCAGGTCATTCATTTCCGAGAGCACTGCTATGCATGGAATAGACTGAGACGAGAGACGGCGACGGAGAAAAACACTATTAATTGAACATTATTTCCTAACAGCAGAACATTAACCCAGCCCAACAATAATAAAAACAATAACCCAAACAGAGGCTCTAAATGCCTGCGAGAAACAATTTCAGAGTGGGAGGCTGAAATTGGGTTTTTTACAAAGGAAGTGTACAGTCTGGGGTTCATCCTGTGTCACGATTGTTTTGACAGAGGTTGTGTTTACCTCGCCGGAGCTCCTTCCTGCCTCCCCCTCCAACTCCAGGGTCACCTGATCCACCTCCATGGAGACAGAAACCGAGGGATCATCTGGGATATCGTCATAGTCATCCTCCTTCAACTTCTCTGAGAGAGGGCACAGAACCAAAACCCTCAGTTCATTCTCTGTCAGAGTTTATCCACCCCTTAAGGCTGCAAACATTCATTATATAAGGCAGAGAAGTGTTTTTAATCAAGGAAGTGCTACAAAACTGAAAACTGGCCACAGTTTCCCAGGACCCCAGGTAATGTGTCCTCAAATGTCTTGTTTTATCCAGTTATGAGTCTAACACTCAAAATGTATCACAGTTACAATGATAACAGAGAAAAAGATCAAATCCTCACACTGGAGAAACTGGAGCCTGACAATGATAATTGGTTATCATACTGATTATTTTTCTGTCCGAGAATATTAAATCTTTAACTTCAATAATGCTTTTCATAAATACTTGACCGACTTATTTTTTTTCCAATGTGACACCATTTATCGGAACCAGAAACTGTAAAAACAGAGGGGATTGTCAGATTTTCAAGTACCCAACGAGGCATGCAACTGAAGCTGAAAGTTATGATGCTTCATCAAAATCTCTTTATTCGACATGTCTTATTTAAAAAACAAATAAACAAAACAGAGTCGGTAAAAAGCAAAGCTGTCTGTGCTCCTCCACAGTTCTGTGAACTTATGAATGACTCAGCAACAACCAACAGTCACGTGACCAAACAATCTGGGACTTTTTGGCTGAACTGCAGATTGCGTTTACACAGACAAGAGAGGACACAAGTATGGAAGCAAACTAGAGTTCCAGTGTTGGTAACACCTTTGGGCAATTCAAATATGCTTTACATGTTAGTTCCAGTTTGTTTGTTTTTTTTTTTTTAAACTTTTGCAACCAAAAAACCCCCAAACATTTGTTTTTCCTTGTTTTTCAATAATTAACAGCATTATAATTATAATGCACAAACGACATTTGAGTTCCTCCTACTTGTAGCCATGGTTATGTTGTTTCAGTACAGGTGCAGGACTTTATATATAGCAGTGAAAAATGCCACAGTGAATAAAAATATGACAGGAACAAAAGAAACACCCAGAAACTGTTTGGGGCTGAGAGGGTTGATGTAAACAACTGTGTGTATTTTATGCTCATTCTAAAAGTTTTATTACATGGTAAAGGAGAAAACTTGTTAAAATCCCAACTCTTTGATTGAATACTGAAGCAGTTTTCATGGCAGCATTCTAAGTATCACCGTGAGCACATTTGTAATTTCTGAGTAATGTTTATAATGATCTTCAAACACAGTCTGACCTTTGACCAGCTCCTGCTCTGTCTTGCACTTTAAAAGTGACTCCTCCAGCTCTTTAATTCTTCTTTCCTGTAGATCAACACACATGTTATAATATTGCAGTAATGACGACTATCAGCAAGTCAAAGCTGCTGCTGACACACGGCACCATACCTTGCCATCGTTTTCTGATGTCAGTGATTCCAACACCAGCTTCATCTTCAACATTTCAGCATCTGGGGGGAAAAAAAAACAAAAAAGCTAATGCGTCCTACTCGTACAAGTTTAGCTACAACTCCCCTGGGCTCTGAAAGCTGCAAACAGAAAAGAGACATAATGAAACCTCTGGGGCTCAGCGTGTGGTCAGCAGGGCTCCTGTTTCAGACAGGTGCTGCAATGAATTCTTGGTGTGGTTACCACCACAAGTTATTTAAAAATTGGGCCTTTATTAGTGTTTTGTTATGAGTATTACACAATTAAATGTGTGTCAATCACTTGGCAATCTAATCCAGACTGAAAGTGCACAAACTCTGATATCTGTTTACATTAGCAGAGCTCGACTATATTTGGTGTCTGATAGCATTTAATTGAATCAGACTGCAGCATTAAACTTGACTATTAAATCTGAATAGCTTTTAGAATCCAAACTCAGAAACTTCAATAACAACAATTTCACCTTACCTTATAAATTAAAGAACCACCTGTATGTACGGCTCAATATTAATCTCCACACAGTGCATTCCCACTAAGGCCATGAGAGAGCATGAAGGCTCCGATGTGGACTTCACGCGCTAATTTACAACCTTTCTGAGTTCTAATGTCTGCAGACTTTGCTGCAGGACTTTCCCATAGTTGGTAGCAAAACTAGTGACATCATGGTTGTTCTGCCTCCCACAAAATGTACAAAAACTAAGTATGGATGTTGTAGGGATGAAATCTGCTAGGAGGCTAATCTGCAAGTTATGGCATCTTTAAAATGCGCTCACAGCAGTGAACCCACTGACAGTTCCTCTCAGTTCGACACGGCATTTTAGCCTCTTTTAAGTCACTGCTTTGGCTTTGCAACTTACACCTTTACTCCTCGTTAAATCTCAATGCCCTCCCATCAGCATTGTTTCCAGAATTTGCAGCATTTGTCATCAATAATTCAATGAAAACACAACCAACTTAGCAACAAATGGCAGACAGGCAAAGTTTGTAGATAGCTAGTGAAAACAATGGGGCATTTAGTAGCTCAAGAGCCAGAAAATCCACTCAGGACTTGATCCAAACCACACGAAAGCTAAAAGGAGAGTGAATATTGGACTCACATTCACCTGGCCAGGAACACTACTTCAAATTAATTTGTGTTGCTGTCAACAGACTGCTGGATATCATATACACCATAACAACTTTATGAGGTGGTATTATGACAATGTTGTCTTTACAGCTTGTTTGAATGGTTCAACTCTACCACCTGAGTTGGAGCTCAGTCCTCATGAGCATCTGTCCAGCTCAGGTGTCCTTCAGCCAAACCTCCTGTTCTGTTAGTGATCCGGACTTTGCATCTCGTTTGGTTCAAAGCTAAGTTAGTACATTTATTTTTTACATGAAGTAATTAACTGTAAAAGCTATTCATTCATTTTTAACCTTTGACTTGTGATACGTTTGATGTTGTCAAACTGGTGCCTGTACAGTGAGATGGAAGACAAAACAAAAACATACAGTTCTTCAGGTTTCACTGTGCAGCACATGTTTACAGACAGACCAGCATAACAAACTCCTCTTAAATAAACGGCATTCCTCTAGCATCGGTGTGGATAAGATAAGGTCAGTGGTGGGAGGAAGGAGTAAAACAGTCATATGTTTGGTATGGATCCTACAGACAGACAGATAAGGACTGAAGTACAAAAAGGGCCTCAAATCACCTCATTAGAGTGAGACTGTCTGTGAAATGTAAGATAGTAACAAAAAGATTAATGGAGAAATCCAAATGAAAGCAGCGTACACATTATTTTTCCAGTGGGCCTGCTGGAGGAGGATGTGGTGTTGTTGGAATGTGAAATGTCTATTTGTCTAATCCTCATAAATCCTTTTGTAAAATTAGAGCTGAACTGCAGGAAATGGCAGAAGAAGCGTCCAGACAGTTATTAAAACAGCTCCCACCTCGTTCTCCTCCCTCGGCTCTGTTGTGGCTCTCCACCCTCAGTCTGCTCTCATCCTTCAGCCTCCTCAGCTCCATCTCTCGCTCCTCCAGCTGCTTCTGCAGAAGCTGCAGCTCCTCCTGTAATGAGGGTTGATTCAAAGTCATTTTATTTACAACTTATAACAATATGAAACAAAGAAAAGCATTTAACATTTCTAAACATTTGACAAGCTGGAATCAGAGGATGTTTGGCAATTTCTCTTAATAAAAATACTTAAACCACAGTTTACACAGTGATCAGTAAAGGGGCCCTCCAGCAATTTGTTTTCCAATTAAATTCTTTTTTTGAAAAACTGCAAAACAATGAAACTGAGGCCAAGAGGCTCCTTGACATCATTGAGGTTCATTTTATCATGCTAGTAGCATGGTCTAATTTTACAATTTATGAAATATGACACTGAAATTGTTTTCCTCTGTCAGGTTACAGTCAAGAGATTTCTTCTTTTATCTTGAACTTTATGCTCTGATGTAGCACACCCATACTTACTCTAGGTTTGTTTATATGTTTATTTAGAGATTGTTTTTGTCACTATAAATATTACTGATTTTCAGGACAAAATATTTTTATCGCACTTTCACATTTAAATAAACGGAGAACTGCTTTCACTTCCACGCTGAGCTGCAGTCCTGCTCATGTACAAATCTTTGCATCAAAATAAACTTAAAATGTTTTTTTTCTTTTCACGTGCAGGCTACAATAGAAGCTATTTAGCTGTTTCTAGAGAAGCCTCTACTCTCTACTCGGTTTTTGCGGCACATTAACTCAGTTTTGAGAGCAAACCTTCCTTTATAAGGAGTGAAATCAGATTTATTACAGCTGACACCAAGTGACTTTACCTTCATAGACTGTTCTCTGTTAACATGACTTTCTATGAGGCTAGCACGCACTTTAAATGTTAACATTGCAGTCAGTCTGTTAATATGAAAAGCCATTCATTGTGCAATCACAATTGTATGTAATCTGCATTTTATTGTGCAAATATATACAACTTAAACTAAACTATGGTGGTGAACACTACAAACTTTATTCAAGTTAAACAACATAGCAAATTAGCATTGTCATTCCGAGCCTGTTAGTACCCATGTATCGCTGTGAATGTGGGTGGGAGGTGGAAAGTCTGGCAAGTTCCTTCATAGCCGCAGACAACATACCTTCTTGACAAGCTGAGCAATGCAAGTAAACTCAATTTTATGTGTAAAATCAGTGGAGAGTCCCTTTAATAAAGCATCTGTAAGTAGGTCAGTTAGTAATTTAGTCATCTCAAGTCTCTCCTTTCCATTTAACAAACTGGGTCTAGTGAGAAGACTCAGTGCAAGCTCATGCTATACACTCAACCAATATTCTGCTAAATAATTAGCATGCAGACCTGTGAACACTCTGCAAAGCTGGACCCATTTACCAAATTGCCACAAAACAAAGAATCAAAAACTTACTGTGCAGAGAACTAATTGATTGTAATTAAGATCTGATAGATGTGAAGCTTTATAATCGGAGAAAAATGTCCTTGAATGTCAAGTGCTTGTTGCATAGCAAAAGTTAATAAGAGGATTTGAACCTGGTCCAAATCCTGTAACTGGTGCAGGTGGAAGCACTTACAGCAAGTGTGGTGAAAGTCAGGAAAGCAGTGTGCAGCAGTGGAGAAGGAGCAGGTTTAGAGGATCTTAAGGGCCAGAAAGGAGAAGAATACAGGCTGGAGATTAAACCTTCACCTCATCTTCAGTGAACCGCTCAGTGTTCCACTTTGGACGCTTGACAGGTTAGCATATCGCAGAAAGATATTAAAATCAGAAAAGGGCAAAGAGCAGGAGCCAAATGAAAAGGGGAAAGGGGAATAATAAGGAGAGAGAAGGTGTCATTGGGGAAAACAAGAGGGTTTAAACATGTAATAATGCATTTCAAAGGACAACAATAAATGCAGATCTGCTGGTATAGTCAAAGGTAAAACAGTGAAGTATGTGCTAACTGGACGTTGACACTCACTTTGGTTGTTTTGAGTTTCTTCTCACACTGCAGTCTTTCATTCTCTATGTCAGTCACCCTGAACCGCAGGTCTGTTACTTCCTGATACAAGCCCTGGGGAGGAAAAAAGAACTCCCATTACCCATTAAACTCTGAGACAAACCTACACTGGAGACCTACATGGAGACTGTGTGGGAGAGACTGTTGATTATTTCAACGGGGGAGAATTCCTGCCAAAGGCATCAATATTATTTTCAGACTAATGCCCCTCTGGAGAGATTCTGAGAAGTCTAGTCCACACATGGAGACAAATCCTGAACTAGAGGGTCATGGGGAATTACTGTGAAACTGTGTTTACAATATCATAATCAGCAACAGTGTAGGAGTCCTATGAATTCAATTAAATGCAATGTATACTGACACTTTCTACATGACATTATTGTCTAGAACCCCAAGTTGTTTTCCTTTAGCTGTCACTCAATTCTCTTATTAGCAGTAAATTACTGTATTTTACTAGACTGTTTGGATATTTTAATGGAAAAATGCTTTCATCAATTGAAATTTGTTCAGGCTTTTTCCTGCATGTTCAATACACAGCAAATATCAAATCAATATATTACATTTTTCATACATTTTGTTCCTCTGATCATCTTCCTTTATGATTACAGAGTTTTCTGCAATGCTTTGCAGTAGAGGTAGAGTACATTATTATTTTCTTCACCAACAGTCCACCACATTACAAATCAATCATTAATTAATCGTTAGAGCAAATTATGTACCATGGCATTTTTTTTTTTCATGTACTAAAAAAAGTGACATTTAACCACAGACATTTAATAACGCAGCAAATAAGGCTCATCTTGACGACCCACTTGGTTATCATATAACTGTCCCAATACACAGTGGCTTGTTTTCTACACAGGTGCAGTGGCTGGAAGCCATGAACTGCCACACAAGTCTCTGTCATGGTGGCCCACTGCTAGTAAAAACCTCCACCGTCCTCTCAGCCACATAAACACTGGACACCACCTCACCCATCCACAGTAATCAGTTATTTAAATGTACAGTTTAGATTTTAACATTAACATTCCCATGGTTCTTTGGGCCGAATGGAGCTGCCCACAGTTGGAACAACCACCTCTTAGGGTCTCTACCGTTTAAAACACAACAAAAAGCTGCAGTCTTCCATCTCATTAAACAGTACGAGGCTCCCCCTGGTGGAGCAACCAGACACTACAGCAAGTCGACATCGTGTTTCTGACTCGTGTTCTTCAATGTCAGCCTTGTTGGTTCATGTAGTCTTGATTGTGCATATTATTTAATATTTATTAATAGTAATTAATCAACTAATGATTAATCACTAATACCCCTACTGGACATTCTCCACTAGCAGTATTAAAAATGAATACACTTTCTAAACTATTTTGTGCGGCTACTGATTAAACAAGAGTTTGGCAGAACACAAAACTACACAGTCAGCAAACTAGCTATTTGTTTTTATTTAGACCCCTTCTTGCTGTTCTGCTACAATAGTTGTTCTTCTTGGAGTAAATGTGAGTGAAACCTAAGCACTGATGTGGTCGCCTTCAACTCTCTACATTTTGGTGATTTTTGGTGACAGACAATCAACTGGATTTCTTTTGATACTGTAAACACAAGGAGTTAAGCACTGCCACTTCAGGATCACTGGAGGCTGATACTGAATAAGCTTATATTTTTTACAGCGATATTTATTTATTACTAGGAAAAGATGATCACATTTACAAATACTTATTTTTATATTATTAGATAACTGTGGCAAACATCTGCACTGAAGGGGAAAGACAACAAATAAACTTGTCAGTGAAGTTTCTGGCAGTTCTTTAATTCAGTTTCATGTTACTTATCAACTAAAATGTGAACCGAGGCCAATATATCTGTCACAAAATATAAGATAATATCAGCAATTGATGTGTGTAAGCCAGATTTATTGACGAGTTCCTTTTTATATGAATGTCAAACAGATATTTATCCTCAACACAGACTGTTCACACTGGAAAGAATAACTTTGGTTTGACTTGAGATATGGCTTTGAGAAAAGGCGGGATGATTTTCTATACGAAATGAATCAATCAGCTGCTGAAGGTTAAACAAATGCATCAATCAGAATGCATCAGGATTACTTAGACTGGACTGACATGATGCATTCTTCAGGATTTTTCTAAAGCTAAATGGAGCTTAAATGGAAACAGAAATAAATATGCACAGTTGCAAAATCTATATACTCCCTTTAAGCTTTTACTGCCTGGAAACACCACATAACACGTCCCAGCTAGTGCTCAGAGTGTATGGAAACTATAACTCTCGCAGCTCTTTAGCCCCTCAGAGTAGGGGGCAGAGGAGGGGTGGGTGGGTGGGTGGGGATACTCTGGCAGGAAACAGCTGCTGGAGACCAAGGAGTGTTTAAGCCTCTTTTGTAACCCTTACAGAAGTTCACCCAGCACCACATGACACATCTCTGGGTCCACCAGTCGAGTGAGACAGACCTTTGTGACTTTAAAACAATGACTGGACGGACGCCAGGATTCCCAGTCACACATCACATAAGACAAGGTGCAGGTGCAACACAGAACTTTACTGAATGCTCCATTTTATACTCTGAGATAGTGCACATTTCCTGAACAGGGTTCTACCTCATTGTCTCTGTGATCTCTCTCCACAGCGGTCAGCTTCAGCTTTAGGCTGGACACCTCAGTCATCAGCTCCAGCTTCTGGGTCTCCAGTGCGCTCCGGGTCAACAGCTCCTGTGGAGCAATACACACCCTCAGCAAAGCTCATATATTGCAGCAAAAGGAGTCTTCAAATGGGACGACAGTTTCAAATAATTTTGTGTTATTTCTCATTTGTCTACATGAGATGTTTGAAAATTGCACAACTGAGGTACATTGACTTTGTGGAGGCCTTACCTGTTGAAGCAGCTGCTCAGTAGCATTTAGTTTCTCCCGATGATGCTCAAGACATTTGTCTAGATCCCGAATCTTTTCACCTTGCACTTCCACTTGGTCTGTTAAAACACTTACCTGGACAAAGGTGGGACAACTTTAGTGGTCACGATTTATAAACTTCAAAGCACTGACAGAGAGAAAGGTTTAACATTTCTGGAGTAATAATCTTCTGAATCTTCTTCTTTTCTGCAGAGAGTTACACGAGATGATCCAACACTGGTGTCTTGTGTGTGTGGCAAATGTGCAGCTACAGCCAGCAGCCAGTGAGCTCAGCTTAACACCAAGACTGGAGAAGGTCTAGAACAGCTAACCTGGCTCTGTATAAAGGTAACACAATTTGCCTACCAGCAGGTTTTAAGCTGAGTGACACATTACATGTTGTTTTTGTTTGAACTGTACAAAAACCAAAGCCTAAAAGCAAAATGTGTTGTGCCAAACTATTTCTTGGCTGGAAATATTAATTTCCTGGAGTTATAGATTGCCATGACCGGCCAAGAAATAGTCCTGTTAAATTTCAACTGAATCACACCTATGACTACAAAATTATGGCCATTTAAGTAACTGTGGTCCCATCTTTTGGTAGAACGACATAAAATTTGGCAGAGTTGCTCAAGACAGTATATGTACATGCTTTTGTTGAAAAACAAAACAAAAACAAATTTTCCCCCTTGTCTTGTTTAGATGGTAGGAAACGTTTAAGTTTGTTCTGATAGATCTGAACTGATGAATGAGTTATGAAAAAAACATAAATGCACTCGAAATGCACACATGGTGACACCATGACTTAAAATCTGGATTGGAACTAAAAATTGTTCCTTTCCACCAAATTCCTTCAAAATCCATTAAGTAGTTTTTGTAAGATTCTGCCAACAGAAAAATGTGGACTGAAAACACAACCTCTTTGGCAGAGGTAATTATACATGGTTCAGCCACATGATTTCTCCAGCTTTTAACACTTTAACTTCAAGAACTGGCTGTTCACTTGCCTGCTAATACATCCCACCACTTGCCAGGTGGCAATCTTGTGAGATAATCAATGTTATTCACTTCAGTGTTTTCAATGTTGTAGTTGATTAGTGTACAATAGTACCTAATTGCCCATTCAGGTGCAATTGTTGTGTGATCTTGAAACTGCAACGGAGGAATTTGTTCACGCACCTGAAGAATAAGACATTCTTTGTCACTCTCCAGACGTGACAGACGCTCCTGGTAGACTGCTTCTGCCCCATGGTCGCCAGTCTGTAATGAGAAACAATACAAGCTGATTTGTCTGAACAAATAGCTGCATTTGCTGTGTCAGTTGAATAAGGCCTCAGCTTGTCATATCTTTTGAGATGAGAGTTCATGAAAAAAGGAGGGAGAAAGCCTTCAGCTGTCATATTGAAATACGAGTCTGGCTGAGGAAACCAAATGAAAATACACAGCAGCCTTGAGCCACACAGATTATTTAATGGGTGCACTGCACACTGTTTTCGTGTATAATCATATAACCTACCAGACAATGAACTCACATGGTTTTCCCTTGACGAACAGGATATACACGTTGAGTTTTTCTGGGAAACATGTGAGGGTCAAAAGTGTCCTCACATGAAAGTGATTTTAAAATTGAATCAAAAGCAAACTCTTCTCTCAAATATCACAGATGGAGAGACGAGGCCAGGAGGGAAGAAAAACAAGAGCCTCACTCTGACTGCATGAGTTTAAAAGATGGAAACTATTTCCTCCTATAGAAACTTCATCATTCGCAAATCACGTCATAACATTATTTTTACAATAAACAAAGTCATGGTGCAGGCAACGGAGCACCATCAGCAGATGAAAAGCAGATCAGAGGATAATTCATACCAGGCTATATCTTAAATCGGTGCTGTGCAAAGACACTGATCTTATCATTTACAGACTTGGGCCTTCAAAATAGGTAAGAAAAAAAAAAAAAAAAAGAACAGTTCAACAGTTTCAACAGAAATGCAATAATGTGAATCAAAGTGTTTTAAATCTCATCTGGATTTTATCCAGACAAGACACTTAAAAGTGTAAATGCAGCACAGAAATCAGTTCCTGCCCTGTCAGAAGCAACAACACTATAAAAGGAGCTAGTCTTCGTGTGTGAAACCAGAGTGTAAAAGCCAACAATAACAAATTACAGTTTCCTACACAGATACAAACATAACATACACAGAAAATTCTTGTCTTTTCTTCCAAACACGTACAGCAAATACTGTACATAGAAGGCTACGTAACACTACACAGATGGCCTTATTACCATTCGTCCATGCAGCCACTCCGCCAGTCCCTCTGCAGTGGAATCTGGGATCTGACACCGCAGGTTGTCCCTCTCCTCATTGTCCATGAGCTCCAGTGCTGCTCGCAAGTCCTCCAGTAGGTGCAGCACCCGTAGGCCACCCAGAAAAGGTGATGTGGGCGACTGGCAGTCAAACAGCCCATTGGAGTAGTCCATGGCCTTGGAGCCTGGGGAGGAACAGCGCGAAGAGTCAACATCAATTTATTTCACAGAAATTATAAATACAAGCGCAAAGCTGTGACAACACAAGAACTCCTCAGGCTGGCGTAAAACTCAACATGAGAATCTAATGTGTTGGGTTCTTACACACTAAATGTCACGCTATGATAAAAGAGAAGGATTTATGACCAAAGCCAAAGTTAGTATTGGTCTACGGGAGCAGTAAAATGATCAGTAGCCAAAACTATACATGTCTGTTTTTGTGTGACAATCGTCCCCTTTGTTCCTAAGGTATGGCGTTGGATAACAGCCAGAAAGTGTTTTTGCTGAACATGATCACAGTGAAGCTGACCTTTAAACCCTTTGGATATAAAATGGCATCATTTCAATATCTGATTCTTTTTCACTTTTGAAAACATTGTCATAATTAGCACATAAATACTTTAGTTATGAACAAAAATGTGTTTTGTGAGGCCACAATGACCTTGGTCAGCAAAACATAATGAGTTCATACTTGAGTCCACGTAAAGACAAGAATTGTGAATGATCACACAAACATACTGAATGCAAAATATGATCTTGACGGGCATTTTACAGATGACTGTCGAGACTGGGGAAAAAAACTAAATTGGAAATTGTTGAGCAACCTACATGAATGAATTTACTTGCTGTTCTCCTCCACTGTATTATATCACCTGGGGCTTTCTCTGTCTATGCATGAGTTAAAACATGTGTGGTATGTACAGTCTGTTTTATATGTATGGTTTCTGTGCACATTATGCCTTATCTGTACATCTAGCCCCTGGCATAGGTGTGTGACATGCTGCTTTATTCATAGCTATCCGTCTTTCCAGCTCTTCCTTACATTAAATAGCAAAAATACCATCCTCCAAAAAAACAAATAAATAAAATCACATTTTATATAGAGCAAAAACAGCAAATCTATCATTTAAATATCTCAGAAACAGGAAAAGTAAATTTAGTACACCCAATCCCATCTAACTGGAGGTCTTACCACTAGTTTTCGCTAAACTTAGCTGCTTGACAATTACAGCAGTTCATGAAGTAAATTAAATACTTTAACTAAAGAGCCAATATTTTAGGCTCCATTCATTTCTTTAAGAACTTAATGTATCTACGAGAAGATCAGACTGTTAAACTCATTTTACTCCTACTTCAGTTAACATTTCAGTGAAATCACAGCACAAACACTATGTTCAGGTACTTATTAGTATTCTCTCCACCTCAGCACTAAATAAAATGCCCTCCTGCAACATACTGTGCAAGCAATGATTGTTGGATGTCCATCAAACACAGTTAAAGCAAATAACAATAATTGAATGTATTTCTGTGTCCGTGGAAACCATGCTTTAGATATTACTTAGAAGCAGCGGCATGTTGACAAAACTTGAGTGCATGGTGTTCTGATTGTGTGCCTCAGCCTGCTCCACACTAACTGTCATAAATGTCATCTATAATGAAGATGTCCAATGTTAACAAAGAGAGAACTAAATAAAAAAATATCCAAACAATCACAGCCTCCCCACAGTAGCGAGGGAGTGGGGCTTGATGATGGCTGTGGTTTCTGCGGAAACAGGGGGCGGGAGGGGGGATGGGAGACGTCATGTGATCTGCTGCCTTGCTCTCATTGGAAAGGTCAGTGCTATAATTACACACATCAGCGGAAAAGTAGGGACTCTAAAACTGAAGCCTGCTCTGCTCATCTGCAGCGGCACAAGTATACAGAGAGCAGCCAAAAGCTCCCAAGCAGGACTCTCTATTCCAAACTCACAGAGCTTGAATAATCATTAGTTTCCGTCACTGCTGGGACAATGGAAACTTTCTTTAATTTCACATGCAGTGGAAGGGGGGAAAGGGCTGGCGATCTCGGAGCACAGTTTCAGCTGTATTCCAAACCTTTATGTATACTCAGAAGGATAACGTTAAACTGCAGGTAGGAGCGGGAGAAGGACACGCTGTGTGCACGTAGTATTTCCAGCTTGCAATTTAATGGTTTCCAGATGTGGCTATACCCCATGGCATGCAAGGCCCACTTAAATAAGAGCAATGGCCAGCTCTTAAAGTCCAAGTCTTCCATGTGAGTTACCTGCTATGATCCCATCCATTTGCTCCAAGGCTGCGGCCAACATATCGCTGGCGTCGGACATCATCTTGTGCTCAATGAATCTGAAAGAGAGAAGGGGAAGAGTTTTGAAAGAGGAGATGAGTGAGACTGAAGAGAAAAAAAAAATCCATAAAGGTCTTGGCCAGAGCTGAGGCATTAAAAAGTAACAGATTGTGCTTTAAATCGAACCACGGCACAGACAGTCCTTTACACTGGGCAGCCGGCTGAGAGGAGTACGCAGCTATGTCATGAAAATTAATGGAAAGCATTTTGGGTCAACTTCTGTTGTTTTAAATATGCTATATAAGTAAAGATAACATGTCTGGACTTCATTAATTCACAAATAAACCTTTATTATTCATTTAAGAGAAGGGTGACCATCCTCCTAAAAACTGAGATACAGTAAAAGAGATAAAACTATTTCAATTAGTACTCAGAAAAATCTTCTACATCTACATCTGATCATGTGCAAACAACATCTGCTACACAGGATTTGTCATACATCTGTGTACATCTATCTCTGTTCAGTTAAAAGAAACAAATGCCCTCAGTAAAAAGCCCCAGTAGTGTTTCACTCCCCCCCAAAATCTGACATTTACTGAGATGTATGTAAAGTGGGAAAACAAGAGCCACGCCTCGGAGTAGGCAGGTAAATGATCAAACTGGTCATTCCATGTCCAAAGAACTGTAATTTACATGTGCAGTAAAAAACAACCCTGATTCAGATGTCTTTCAAACTTGCTGGACTAATCTGTTTAGAACACAAAATAAAATGTTTAGAAAAAGAAAACTGCAGGTTTGCAATGATCTTCACAGCTTCCTCCAGAGAATCCCTTACATCATTTTTGGTCGCTACTCTAGTTCTTATTACTTTTACCGTTCAGTTTACTGTTTACAATAGTCAGTTCTGAACTACTAAATCTGCCTGGTTGTATCTGTATTTTGAAAAATAAATATAACTCTGTTATCACTAATCCTGTTACAGTACAAGGTCTCATTCTTCCTTTTCAAATGACTTCTGTATCAAATTAACCCTGCAGTCGGTGCTGCAAAGAAATTGGCTGCCTCAGAGACAAAAAACAAAGTGATCCCCAGGACTTATTACCCAGCAGGCCTTGTTTCCGGCGACCGAGCAGTCACGGGTGTTCATGGGCTCCTATCTGGAATAATGGCACTATTCTCCCAGGGGTCTCAGGCCTTGTAGCTTTGGCATGCTTGGTATCTTAAACTTCCATAACAAAGTTGGAGAGTATCCCCATGACCGCTGAATTCAAACACTTATCACATGTCTTTCCTTTTCTTGCATTGGCCACTTTTGCCTTCAAACACAATCTGATTTGAAGGGATTGAGATAGTATACAGTATTTGGAAAGGCCAGCGAAAGCCCAGAACTAACAACATAAAAACAGTGGGTCTACTTGTTCAGACGTCCCTCAGTAGGGAGGCTGGGACTACAGGCTCTGCTTCATTTCCTCCCTCTGTGGGGTCACAGTGTCACACCCAGGAGGGTAAGAAATGGGCATTAAGAGAGTAATTAAACCAATGACCTCAATATGTGAGCCGGGGGCTGGGGTCTGCTTTTAAAACAAGGAGCCCTAAGTGCTTGGTTGTCTAATTTGAACTACGCACTCCACAGAAAGGGGTGTAAGTTTCCTCCCAACATGTCAAACATACAGTAGAGCTGTATAGTTGCAGTATTCTATAAGCATTTTAAGATTCTGAAAAGACTCGTGATCATGCAGAGTAAGTAAGTAAGAAGCATTTAAACTAATTTAAATTCCTCTCAAATTAAACTATAAGGCTCCTATGGGGACTGAAGGTAGAGAAACACCACAGATGCACATCTCACGACTAACATGTTTTCCTCCACAGGTATTTCCGCAGTTTGATGGAAAACTATCATTCACTCTCACCAGGGTGGAAGCTGTATTTAGTCAGCTGCTTATTTAAATCCCATGGGAGAACCCGAAAGCTTGTCTCTTCTCCAAGAAGTCGTGGTATTTGTTGAGAAAACAAATGTTTCCTTCTTTGTGTGGATGGTGAAAACTATAAACTCCACAAGGAGAGGAACACCAGTGTAGGCCACCTTATGCTGGATTCAAAAGTCCGGTATAGTTTCTTAGCCCCACTTTAACCACAGGCATGTAGAAAGAAGTAGGATGAAAAATTCTAAGATAAAATACATTGGTGTGTTGCCATGGATAAGGCTGCACTCCTCCTTTCTATGCCATCTTGTGATCAAAGCCACATCAAATGTGGTGTTGTGATTTTCATGAGAAACCACATTCACTACAAACAGACAGAAGTTAGGGTCAACTGCATCAGAGACAGAGGCCAGAGAGGAAGTCAATGAGCACTCCAAAACAAAAATAATCAATCTTGTGTATTGTCATGCAGCCAAAGACTTCCCTGCTCTTTATAATAAAACCAGAGACTTTAAAATGCCAGAGTAAAATATTTTCCTCTCATCAGACATGAGCCGGTCACTTGTAAAGAATTTTCTGACCAAAACCTCAAGATAAAAGTCTACAGATGAGTGGCGATCTCTCCTGTCATTAGAAGAGGTGTCCGTGTGAAGTAATAATGATTGATGAACCAGTCTGGGCGACCCACAGCGTAGGAGTGAGCACTCCACACATTCCTGAGCAGGTTAGCTTCCCACAAACTAAGCACTAACGCCTGGTACGGGCATCCCCGCTGACCTCTTTGACCTTCTCCCCTCCACTCTTCACATTAAATCCTCCCAAGGACTCTGGTCTGTCAGAAACTCACACATCTAGACTGACCTATAGAGAGAACAGGCCAGCAAGCAACAAACAAAAACCGTCATGTCATACAGTTCATACACCAAGGACAAACCTGATGATATCTGTATTGTCTAATTGTCAACAAATAACATGAAAAGAACTGATCCTTCTAACAAGCATTGTCTGAGTAGCCGGAGCCTGAAATATCTTACTCCTCTGAGCCACGGAGCTCTATTGTTTGTTTTGACCTGATCATATACGACATCCTGTTGCTGTAAATACTCGCTAAAGCACCAGAAGTGCCCTTTTTTTTGATGAAAACAGTGCAATTTAAAGATTTAGTCCAGCTTCAGTAACTTTCGCAAAAAAATAATAATACAAAAAATTAAAATAAATAATAATAAAGCATCTAGCTGTTTGAAGAAATGACTGAACTAACTGAAACTAACATATTTGTGAACATGTCCTTAGTAGGAACAAACAAGCTTGGGCCTGACTGTCACAGAAATGTTTGCAGGATAGACCAAACGTAATCAGAACTGGTTTGTATAGCATGTTGTCTGACCACATCAGAAATCAGTGGTTGTAGTTCAAAAGCAAAAATGCTTTCTGGGAACAATTTTGAAGCGCAAACACCTTACCCACTTATTTCTATCACGTCAATATAACCTGTAACTGGACTCATGATAAGCCCTAGATCACTCTGTACCAAGTAGAAAATGTTTATATTGCAAAGGCAAATTATTCCTAGAAGCACACTGAGGGCTAGTAACAGCCTCCACAGAGACATCATAGCCATTTCACATTCTGATTGCACTGTACTTGAGGCTTGAAGCCCTGACAGGCAGATTAACAACATAAAACCACAATAAAAAACACAACTGACTTATCGCTCTACTCCCAACATTGAAACAAGTTTTTAAAAGGCATTAATGTCATGTATTCAAATCTACCTGGCAGAAGTGGTATTTATTTCTGTGGAAAGACAAATCTGACTGAGAATCAAACTTGACTCTTCTGACGCTGAGACGTGGTTTTAACATCAACCAGATGGATTCAAAGAGATATGGAGTGGGAGGGACCAGGCAACTAAAAAGAAAATAGGCTGGGATTACTTGACCGTACGCTGAACGGTCTCTGAAACACACACACACACACAAACACACGCCTCCACTGCTGCCTCGTGCTCCAATAACCTACTTCCAGCTGTGGTACAGATGTGCCTTTCAGAACCGGACTGACTCATTGTAGTTATAGAAGCCACAAAAGTTGCAGCACAGCTCCACGATTAGTAGTAGCAGCAGTAAGAGTTCAGAATGGGCTATAATGCGGTGGACAACATTTCCGCTTGTGAGATAAAAGTATAATCATGGTGTTAGTAAACTTGTCTGAGGTTTTAAGTCACAGCAGGTACCAAAACAACTCTAAATACGTTGTTTCCCACTTGCTTTGATTGCAGTATTTGTTTTTCCGGCTTCACACTGTGAAGGACTGCCTTCTGTCCGTCCTAATTGATTTCAAATCTACAATGCAATTAGCAAATCAGCTGCCATTTATAACGTGAGCTATGGCCTTCAAACAACAAGATGAATGATGTAACTCAACTTAATTCAATTTGAGCAGAATGAATCTTTCAGACGTTGTTTATTCTGCCCTATGACTAACGCAAATTACATGGTTCAGGCATGAAGTTTGTGGTTTAGCATACATAAGCCTGGTTTTGTTATTTAATAGCCTCACATTTTGCAGCACATCTGACAGAAGGTTTAAACTGTTGTGTCAATGGTTTAACAAATTCATGCTGTCCTCACAGGCTGTCGATGCTCCGTCACAACTTTTGAATCTATTAGACAGCGAATACTGAACTGAAACGTTTACAAAAATGTATCACAAACCAAATCACAGCAACTGTCTGAAAATCATGCAGCCCTACTGGCTGCCCTAAACAATTCATTCTGTCCTAAACAATCCTCTCACTTCTTAACCCAAAACCTCAGCAGGGACTGACGTACTGCAGTTCATAAACTCATGACTAACCTCTTGATCTTTAACTAAACTGGAATTGAAATCCTGCTGTGCAGACAGAGCGTGTTTCTGTGTTTCTCTCCTTTCTCTGTATGACTGCATCGCTGGCAGTAGAACTGAACCATTGGGCTCCAGGGACATTTGATTGAAGTGCCATTTGATTCTGTACTCAAGGCACTTATTGAACTTATTATTAAGAAAAATATAATAAATTCTGATTGCATTACTGTTTCCAGAAGCCATCAACACATTTGGCTTTCAATAAGCTGAATTTACAGTCCATAACAACGACATTGGAGTTTCACCATAATTTGAAGTTCCTCCTACATTAGGGTCTTTTTTGCAAGAAATATTTGATCTCTGAGAGACCAAATAAACCTTAATGTAGCACCTCGCGTCTGAGGAGTTTAAACCATTCATCAAAATAAATTGATTCAATACAATCTAAATTAGCTACAGTCCAGTTCTAACAGTAGCGCTTGGAGCGCTAACGTGGGCTTCAAACGTGACACGGGCTTATGGAAGTCAGTCCCATACTGCAGCTCCAGTCAAACACCCTCCCTTTGTTTACTCTTCCCCCTGAGAGATGGTCCACTGGACCTTTAGTCTGGGCTGCCGCGAGGTCGGGTTGTTTGACAGAGACGACAGCTCAGACTTTAAACTGGTGCTTTATTTCTCACTGAAACAGTGGAGGCCACACTGAAATTCTGCACAAACAAGTCTTTGTCTTTCAGAGACTCACATGGTAGTACCACAACTCTGTTCCCAAATTATTGCAGTTTTTCCACGTGGCCCCAACTACATCACAGTCAGAAATCACATTGAAGGGGGGAAAAAAAAAAAAAAGAAAAGGGAAAGGGGTTGGAAGAAATGACTAAGAGATCTCAGCAAGCCAAGAAGAACTGCATTTATTTCCTTTTGTTATCAAGCTCCACCTAGAAGAAGCCCTAACTATGAAGTCTTACTTTCATTCTTGTCATCATTTCAGATTTACTGTTGTGATAATGTAGTCGGAGTGTCAATGAGCTCACAGTGAATGTGTTGAAACTCTAAACAGTTACGAAACAGAGGCATCCCTCCAGTCAGGAAGACCTTCACTCAGTCCTGTCAGGAAGCATTTCCTGGCACATTCTGGAGAAATGTCTTCCTCTTACTCAGAAACTGCTATTTCCCTGTAATCCCAGCACCAACTGCACTAACAGCTACTTCACTATCTCACTTATCGTATCATAAAGCATGGAGGGAATCAACTTTTCCTCAATTTAGAGAGGAATTTATACAGCTCATATATAAAACCAAGACTATAATTATGTCCATGTGAAGCAAATGTTTCAGATTACGTTAATATTTTAATTTAATTTCAGAAGCACATAAACATCCCAATATATCAAGTGGCTCAAAAGTGACACCTCCCTTCTTTCAAAACGCACCACCACAAGAACACTGTACCAAGAATGCAAGGAATGCAAATGTCATGGAAAAAGGTGCCTGAGACAGAAAGGCCCCTGTCAATTTTCTGGACACGTGGCTTTAAGAAAAATAAAGTTTAAAAGTAGAAAACTTTGGGGACTGTGCCATGTTGATCTTATTACAGGCCAAGTTTGCTGCTAATACAAACTGGGGCCGATAACAGACCTTGTCTTCTCCTTACCGTACTGAGCAGCAAACAAAAGCCTGTTGCCTGAGGAAACAAGGTGATTGCCAGCAGGATATTAGATTTATTTATTTGTGTCCCTTAAACAATCACTTAGCAGCGTGGAAATGTGTTTTATCGGGCCAGTTCTCCCACTGTAACATCAGATATAGCTGTGCAAGCAAGTAAGAAGCAGCATGGATTTTCTAAGCTGTCAGCCCTTCGCCGAGCGAGTGTGGAGAGGAGACAAATATGGTTATTGACGGAGAGGGAAATAAAATCCTTTGTTATTCTTTCAGTTCTCTGCCTGGAAGCCAAGACATCATCTGAAGTACACAGAGTGGAGGGCTGCCAGCAGGTCATGCAAGCGCCTCAGGAGGGAGGTTTTTCCTCAACAAACGTATACTACAGAGGTTTGCCTAAACAAAGGCTGCAGAAGTCTGAGGCTGACAATGAAAGAAGCCGACACTGGACCAGAAGCAGCCCGTAAAGTGCTGGCTTTGTGCTGGCTGCTACTGTGGGCGCCAAACTGAGACACTGATTCATGATTTGGCTGTGCACATTTATGGACATGGGATGCATAAATAAGTAGTGGTGAAGTTACATAAAGAGCTTCACATACAAAGCTGGCATAATTAGACATACTACAAGAAACAATAGTGAGCTGAAATGCAGAAAAGCTGAGGGAACATGTTTTCTTAGTTTCTTCGTTCTCTGTGGGTGATATCTGACATACATTTGTGTATTTTTTGGCAATGTGAAATCTAAATACTAGTTAAGTGATGCTTAAGTTAGTGATTCCACCAATAATTAAACTATGAAATATTCCAGTGCAGTAAGTCCTAGCTATAGAAAGCTTTTACTGATCCCACAGCATGAAAACAAAACAATAACGTCCAATAATGATGCACATTATATTCATGCAAGACAAATGGCACCGTTAATATTCAATATGACACATTTAATATTCAAAAATACTAACAAAAGAAGCCAAACTCTCAGCTAGCTAACACAAACACATCATATTTAGCAACAGACTGTCACATTACAGCCCAAACAAAGCCTCCCTGTCCCTATTTTAACATTATGAAGCTAGCACACCTACAAGCAAACAAACCGTTAAAGTCTGACTTAAGCTACACAAAGTTCAATGAAGCTTCGGTGAACTTACAGTTTTCGACCAAAAACAAAAAAAAAGGTAAAAGACGGGACCCTGCAGTCTCCAGTGGGCTTATTCCAAAGTCTTTGAGCACTTTTCAGCGGAGCTTCATGGTTTGCGTTCACCTTCCCATTGAGTTTCTCTGTGAACTAAAGTTTTCTTTCAACCGAGGAGGCTTCACTGAGGAGCGTCAAGCTCGAGACAGGAAACACGGGCAGCCAGGTCTACAAAATAAGAGCAGCAGATCTGCTCACAGGAGGCATCTGTTGACTGTCAGAATAAGGGCCATTTCCTGTGTGATTATACTACTGCCACAAAACAACAACTAAACTCACTGATATGTATCTTTCTATTGTATTTCTAATGTTTGAAAAAAGGTTATTTCTGCCGCAGTTTCCTCCAAATTTCATATTAAATCAAATAAATGTGACAAACCTTCCTACTGGCCCTCTCAGAATCATGTTTTGTTTTGTGTACAGTGACCTTAGTATATTTAATGAGCTCATGCAAAATGTTGCCTTTAAACTATTAACATTTTCTGACTTTAGGTTCCCACAGAAAGGCTTCAGCCACCCAGCAGGTTTCTTACATTTAAAATTAATGTACTTTTTATTTCTTTTTTTTTTTCATGTAGCACAATAACAGGGATGTGTTAACTGAGACATCTACTGATTCTGACCTAAATGATTGTAATGATAGTAGAAACACTGAACTTTATAGAGACACTGTCAACGAACATGTATGTACTGAATAGGCCAACACATCGTCCCCTCAGGGCTCATACTGGCATCAACAGACTGGGTACTGGCCAAATCTAACCAATCCAATTTAAATATAAATTCTGTCTTAATCCCTACAAAATGAAGCATGTACACTTTTCCAGATTTTGCAGAGCCTGAAGGCAATCTTGGAGTAAATATCCTGTCTGTGTACAGCACACTGACTGATATATATATATTAAAATATGTTATTTTATTATTTGCTAGGGTTTAGGTCTTAAGTAAGCGTACGTAACTGGAAAAATAAGTCGAGTCAGTCCTAATAAATTATATTAACTCAACATAAGTACATTAAGTTGGATTTTTAAAAAAATCACGCTGAAAGCTATTTAATCACATCTAAACGTTTTCCATAATTGAATTAATTTAACTGAAAGAGTTTTTCTATGCAATTAAGTATGTTTATAGTCAAAAGTTATTATTTATATTCACTAAATTATGGAAAGTACTGCTTACATGCTTGTACAGCAGAACTGCTTCCTGCTGAAAGGAAGCTATTTAACAATGGGGAAATACAGTTAGTGCACAGTTATTTTTTTTATTTAGTTTTTCCTGAATCAATTGTTGCTATTTGAATTATCAAACAATAATTACAATTTGAAAACTCCAAGGAGACAATAAAGGCAGAGGTTGTAAACTTGTATAAATCAGCTTCAAAGCAATAAACGAACTTTTTTGCTGGAGTGAATCTAAGTTCTCTTCACACAGTCTGCTGGAAATCTGTAGTGTTGTGATGAATTGTCAGTAATGAGGTAAAAAAATCACGAAACACAAGATTTGATTTGTGTTTGTGGTCTTTTGTTAAATAAGCTGAAATGGCTTTTACCTGATTACCTTCATCAGTGTATTAAATTAAAGTGCTGCTCTAATAATTAGTGTGTTTCTTTTTCATATGAAGTCGGACTTGAGTGTTCTCTGCGACTCTGTACTTTCATTCCACTGCCACTACAGTTCAGAAGAACATGTCGGGCCACTTATAGCACTGCTCACATGCAGAATATCGCTCAGCATGTGTGCAGACTCACCTCACCCTGTTACAAAATGAAGCCGTCAGTGTGTCAGTAATACTATAGTCCAATAAATACAGTAATACAGCACTTTGACAGGGCAGAGCATATGTTCTGCTACAACGATTTTCAAGTGTAGCTCAGAAAGGTCACACTGCATAGAGAAAAGTTTTATATGTTTGAAACTTTGAACTCTCAGAAAACACGAAATGATCGACCTTTGGTACTGATACAAGCTGGTAAACATTTTGGAAAATCATAAATGGTGGCAAACAGCGTTTCTTGAGGTATTCCTCTTGTTGAAGGGAGCACATGAGAGCCTCCAAATTTGTGGACGCTTTTGTACAGGCATCGGACTCCAGTATGTTCAAACAAGGGCGTTCATCCATCAATGGTGATTCTTGCCCCAAACCGTCGCCACAGTGGTGGTAAAGATTCAATCGTTTTAGAAGTTGAACTATTGTTCAGTGGTGAAGAGCGTCTCGTCAGTGAAGAGGACGTTCCTGTGGCTCCACAGCTCTGAACAAGCCTGGTTTGGCTGCCATTGTCTGTTCCTCCTGCATTTTGAAATGGCGAAGCTTGAGCTCATTTTGCACCATTCTTTGAACAATTCTCTCTGAAACCTTGGGCTCAGCAGTCATTTCTCTCATGAACCTCTGAGGATTTTGATCCACTCGGAATCTGACGACTTTCCTAAGTCTACGTGTTGACACACTGTGTGGACGACCTGGTTTTGGTCTGTTTTAAACACTTCCTGTCTCCCTGTGTGACTTCATCATTCGACTGATAAAGGATCGCCCAATTTTTCGCATGTTGAAAATGTCATTTTGTGCCTTTCCTGCGAGATGTAGGTCAACTACAACAGATCTTTTTGCTTTCAAATCCATATCTCCTGAACCAACGTCTTTCCAGCACGTGTACTCAGTTTTTTCCGCACATAATTTACGATCAAAATTTGTTGTAGAACATGTGCCACACCCTGTACATAACCTCTGGTAGTCGTGTTCATCGTACCTTATAATGTAGTTTGTCTCAAGTAAAATTAATTGCAGGCTTTTGCTCAAATTGCTTTTCACTGCGGTTTTGCTACCTTTACTTAAATAAAGTATTAGTCTACTCTTCTTAATACTTTCGGGTTAAACTAATTAAAAATAGCTCAAATGATCCACAGTTAGGCTTTTCAGCATTTATTACACTTTTAAACAATTGATTAGAAAATTCTGTGTTTATTAGAGAACAAATGGGAGACAAAAGTTTATAGTAAAGAATGGAATGTTTTTTAAAAAATATATTTTTAATAGCATTTTATATTTTTTTCTAATAATTAAGCTGATTTATCTCTTGTGTTGATGTGACATCTTATAATTTATTTCACTGTGAGGTGAGGACACCCGGGATCTTTCTGTGTGGAGTTTGCATGTTCTCCCCGTGCAGCGTGGGTTCTCTCCAGGTTCTCCGGCTTCCTCCCACACAGTCCAAAAACATGTTGAGGTTAACTTAATTTCTAAATTGTCCATAGGTGTGAATGTGAGTGTGCTTGGTTGTCTGTCTCTAAGTGTAGCCCTGTGATAGACTGGTGACCTGTCCAGGGTGCATAGTTCACAAAGGTTAGCTGAGCTAAAATAAAGTGGTGAGTGTGCAGGTGAACGGGTTTGGTACGAGCAAACGGAGTGTAAATTAAAAGCCCCTTTATTGGCTATAAAGGTCACGTTAATTTTCAGTCTGTTTTAGAACAATCACCTGTTGTTTGTCACAAAATACACACTGCAAGTCTCCTGCTAGATATTATCAGACACCAGCAGGTGGAGTTAGAGGTGTTCTCTTGATCCGAGGAGAACACAGAAAAACACGGTGAGCTCCCTGCATGGAGGAGGCTTGATTCTGTCTGATAATACATCAAGTGTGTACTTTAGACACGATGTAATAGACTGGCTCTGGGGCATAAAAACAGCCAAAGGAAATTTGCCTCCCTAAAGGAAGTCAGAAGAAAACACTGCCGCAGTGCATTATGCCGTTTGATTTAATGACAGTGTAAAGTCACTGACTCGTTGAGAAACAAGGTGATAATGGTGCAGCTGCCTGGGGTGCAGGATAATGACTGTGTACTAAGATTAAACATGTACTGCCATTACTAGTAGTTTAAAAGTCATGGAGCAGACTCCCATGTCCTCACAGCTGTACGTGCATGAAGTTTGGCGTCCTCCACACGTTCTGCAAGTGTTTACACTCCATCTTCAAATGCAAATCCCTTTAACGTATTAGCTCCTTCAATGTCAAAATGGTGCATATTGAGAGAGGTTAAACAAAAGGACTGTCAGATGGTGTTTATCTGTAGCTGAAGATCATCTTCCTAATAAAAAGCACCACAGAGTAAAGAGGTGAGGAAGGTAAGGAGCTGAATCAGAGGATTAGTCAGGTACATAAAGGCTTGTAATTTTTAAACGATGTATTTCCAAATCATATCGACTCTAAACATGCTAAATTAGAGATGCACTGATGCAGCTTTTTCACTGATATGCAAACTCTCAACATCAAACCGATATCCTTGTGATACCAAATTGGAAATCTATTGACTTTGGAATTCGGTGATGCTTTTCATCATCTTTACTAAAAGACAACACGAGGCTAATTAGTTAATGCTGTGGGGCTAAAAATGAAGTCAACGGCTCACTCTGACCTAAATGAATGTAGCTTATAGCAGAAACCCAGAACTTTACACTGACAGTGTTAAAGAATCTGTATGCCTTGGATAGTTTGCATTTGGACAGCAGCCAATCCCCTCAGGGCTCATACTTAAATCATTAACAGACTGGGTACTGGCCAAATCCAAACCAATCCACATTAACTACAGATTCTTTTTAAATCCCTAGAAATGAAGCATGCATACTTTCCCAAGATGTTGCAGACCCTGAAGGCAATCTTAGAGTTAATGTCCTATTTGGGTACAGCACACTGAGTAATATGTGTATTAAAACATACATAGTTTATTTATTTATTTAGGTTTTAATCTTAAAGCTGTTAGAATAGAGAACATGCACTCTGTCCTAAATGAGTGTGTTGGACTATGTCATCAGTTAAATCCCATTTTTAGGGGAGACCTAGCCAGACTAGAAACCCAAGACAGGATTCCCGTCAGGATTCAAATAGTTTTGTTTTCAATAGTTTTGCCTGTCGGAAAAAACTGATCACAGCTTGGCACTGGAAGTAATGGGACATCACATTTCTGTGCCAGAGTCAGAAAAATGGCCCCAAGCATGGATGAGAATGATGAAGCTGTACATGCTGCTGTAAGTCGACTCA